TCGACACTGCATGTCAAAGAAACTGTTTCTCGATCAGGGGGGGCGGGAGGGGGGGGGGGGGCGGGCGGAGTGATGAATTGTCTTCGCCTGTCCTCTGTAACATCCTGCTGTTCCTGTGATCAATGTGCAGAGCTATGTTTAGAGTCCATTCATGTGTCAGTGCTGTAAAGAACAGTCAATACATGCATGTCAAAGAAACTGATTCTAGATAATGCTACTCGTCAGCTGACATTCAGTCTAGGACATGCAGCACTGCATATCGGTGAACATATCGACGCTCAACACTTTCTCATTGTGTACATTCGGGGACATTATGCACAGTACGGCCGAGGCTGCAGGCGGGTGCATTGGACCGCTGCACCATGGGATACATGGACAAAGACCTGCTGGCAAAATTATAAATTCCCTCCCTGTCCTCTACAGATTATATGCAAATATTCTGCATTTATGATTTTATTGTTGGGCAGACATAATGCTGACCCACAGCGTTCGGGGGCCAATGGAGCCAGTCGTGAGCTGTTCATGCCCTGCAGGGAAAAAGTGATGTAAGCAGGTGTATCATGTTTTTGGCCCGTCTCACACTTTTATGTGTCACACTGAATATAATCTTTCCCTCATCCCTGTCCATGGGTTCAGTTGCCAAAACTGTACCTTGACTGTACTTTGTTTGCTATAAATGGATATTGTACAATTGCCAGAACAACAAAAGACAGAAGGTTGACAATGAACACGTTGTGTCAGGTTTTTAATTGTTTTGCCCAAACCGATCAGTAGCGAGTGATGCGTCTGTCCACTGGTGTCATATTCAGTCAATATGGAGGCTTTGGGAGTTATTTAGCAGAAGCATGAAAATACATATGCAGAATTAAAGGGACAGTTTGTCGGATTTGGCAGTTTCTAGTTGCAGATTACAACCGACTGAATGCCCCCCCGCTCACTCTTCCCTTTCCAAGACTTCAGTAACGTGAGCCGCCAAGTGTAAAACCATGTTCCCATGGTACGACCGTCTGCGGCTCACATTAACGCAGTTTCACAAGCCTGTAGAGAACCTACGGTCGCCTTAGGTAGTGCTGGGCGGTACAGCCAACATCTGGTATCACGATATAGGTCATTTCATATCTAGACAACGATACATATCACGATATAGCATCTTTTTTGGTCATTCAATTTAAAAAAAGACACACAACAAAGCCTATTTTTGTGTACTCCTGTGTTATTTAAATACGTACAAATGAAAACTACCGAGTATTTTAACTTTAAATCAAGAACTTTTGTGCAAAATGGACAGTGAAATCATAAATTTTGCACATTCTTAAATCACAATGAACTGAGTGTAAAGTGCGATGTAAAAACAAAACTGCAATCTTCAAATGATATTCCCTCAAAATATTCCACGTCAGATTTTCGAAGAAATTTAAGATGATATGCGGTTATTATCAATTCAGACGACGTCATTGTGTTTCACGATGTATGATTTCATCACAATTACGATTCCATTGAAATGATCATATGGAATTATCGTACCTTCAGGTTCTTCTCTTTCAGCGTTTTGTTTGTTTCATGTGATTATACACGAATGAAAACATAGTTATGAATATTATTATTCCATTTCTGCTAATAGATCCCTCAAAATGCAACACACTGGCCCTTTAAGAGTTGCTATTTCTACAGCGGGGCAGTCTCCTCCATGCTTATTGCCATTTCTATTGCACTTTTTGTGGCTCTGACAGAAGAAGATGACCTTTCCATTCTTAGTCCCACCTAAAAAGCTCTGGCTGGTTGTTTTTCTGACAGTGGA